CCGCACTCTTGCAACTATTTCCTACAAACCTTCCGTACAGAACTGAACTTAACTATCAACTAACTTTGTCCCTTGATCATAACGGCTCGTCACGGACCACACAGAAAACACAATTCTTCTATTGTTGCCTTCGTATCAGTTGTTACGGGAACGTGATTACCGAGCCGTTGCCCAGAAACAGCAAGAATCACAGAAAACATAGTTCTTCTCTTGTTGCGGGAGTTACCTAACAACTGACTCAGTTTACAGAGTCACCGCTTAGCAATGGGTGTACACGCCACAATATATTAGCTTTGTAATGGCAACCTAATGGTCTACGTCACTAACTGATTACGACGCAACCTCGTTCCCAAAATATATTGAGTATATCACCATAACGCCCATCACTGTGGCCGCGAGGTCCAAGGAATGAACTGATTTCCCTTGTTCGAAAGCTGAGATTGTGGGTTCGAATCCCACTCAAGACATGGATGTCTGTACTGTGAGCGTTTATTCTGTGTTTGTGCTGTTCTGTGTGTAGACAGAGGTCTTGCAACGGGCTGATCTCCCGTCCAAGGGGTCCCACTGACTGTGTAAAGGATCAGGAAACTGAAAAAGCGGCCAAGGACCAACAAAGGGTTGTAGAGCAGTAATAATAATAATAATAATAATAATAATAATAATGTAATACATTCAGCAGGGGAGATTCTGATACGGCATGGTCATCTCGAAACAAAGGTCTGAAAATATGCGATAATTTGTTCGGGGTTACGTTGAGGGAGAACAATTTCTAACTGCATCTAACAAATGCTGACGACCTAAAGGCAGATATTAGAAGCGGATATTTTATGTTATTTAGCTCTCAGCGCTGAAGAAATTGACTAAAATACAGTAATATGAACTTAGGTCAAGCAAGTAGACGAAAGTAAGAGCTATAAACAGATATGCTGAAATGTAACTGAAAATGGACTTACGTGATCATTCTGAAGCAATGATTATCTCGTATTTGTGTGAGTTCCACATACAGCCCTTATTACAGCGATAAATCGTACTGCTAATATTTGTAAAATAAATTTGAATTCGGTCAGTAGAGAAATTTCATGACATTTGAAGAAAGCAGTCTTCTGGGATTTGGCACCGTGTATAAGTGGTGTTAACCGACGTTTCGGAGGAACGTATCGCCTCCATCTTCAGGGTAGAAGAAAAAGTATAAGAAATCTGCAAGCGACAAGACCGTGAGAACGGTAAAAGCAGTCTGCTTTCTTCATGTAGACTTGAGTTTATCCAGCATGGCATGAAAACTTATACTTATAGGNTTATCTTAACCATTTGCAATTTGGAGAAGAAGAGGTGAAATATAAAATATAAAGGTATCCCTGTAAGAGGCAATGAAGGCTCATAGGGTTGTGAGACGTCCAACCTCCTACATTTCCTAGACGATCGGCTCACAGATGGCGGTGTCAGCCTTACTCGCCGGCCGCGCTTTACTACCCAGGAAGATTCCTCACACTCATTTCTGTCAGAGGTTGACTCAAACCCAGGGCCATATTGCGGCTAGAAGGATTAGATGAATTGAAAAATCCAATGACATCTTCAGGATTCAAGCCCGCGACCTTCCGGCTTGTAGCCTACTGCCTCAGTCAACTACGCTAAGTGAACGGATTGTGGAGGGGAATTCGTATATTTTACGGATAGAAACAACAATTTCCAAATTTTCAGGTTGCTGCAATGTAACATCCTGAATGAGGTTTATCATTTCTTCCTCAGTCCCTCCAGGCAAACAAAATATCGTTTGTGTCACGATTGTTTCCCTCCAAATCATTTTAAATTCATAATTCATTTATTCCGGTCTAGAAACCCGAGATTAACGGCCGTGGGAATCCGTTGCGCTCACCTCGCGACACTATCTACCCTCAAAAGTTGGTGTTAACTTCGCCGACAAGCGGCGGTCGCTAGGTCTGTATAGTTCGCCTGCGGACTAAAGACCACTGATTCTCTTAATTCATTTATCATCTTAACATTTCACGCCATACAGTCTGGACACCAAAAGCGTCGTAAAATCCTTCCTTACCCCGAATGTGGAGCATTTGGTACACTCCTTTTAATGTTAAACCGCAACTCCCTTTTCTTTGTAGTGACTACTCGTAGCTGTTTCTCTCATAGCCTGTAGTTAACTCATGAATAATGAATGGTCAGTAGACTTCCAGTGGCCATGAAATACACAGAAGCGATGAGATTTACGTCAAATAAGGTATTTTCGCTTGGGACCGATCGAAAAACACCAGAGCTCGGTCTAGCTGTAGGTTCCGCTATCATTAGCAGAAAAACAGTGAACTGAGCCTCAGGAGACAGCATTGGAGGCCTATATGCATGTGAACATGCCTGCAAACTGCGGAGCGTGTGGAATAGCGTTACAGAAGACAACAGATGAAGTTAAGTGCGCGGGGAAATGTGGACTCAATTATCATTCTATATGCACAGACTTAAGAACACAGCGAGATATTGAGATACTACTTAGCGGGAAGACACAGTGGTTTTGTAATTTCTGCAGATCTTACAGTTGCAACAGAATTGTAGAAAATGTAAATGATTCGTCGCGATTATGCAAAAAAAATGAGCCTAAAGCATCAGATCAATTAAGAAGTATTATTGATGATTTTTTTGAGTTACGGATCCACGTGGAAGAACTATTAAATAAAATTAATAAACTTGAAGTCGCTGTTAATGATATCAACACAGCGGAGTGTAAAGACTCAAGAAGAGTAATTAAATATTTACAAACTTACGACAAGAAACTCGGTGACTGCGTTGATAATGTAAAAATATCCGAACGAGAAGAATCGGAAGGAAATTTTAATATCGGAAAATCAAATGTGCGCTTATCACGTGATGAATATATGGCAATCAATCTGGAACGTATTGCAAAATCATTGAAAGTGCATGTGTTTTTATTGGCTGCTATGACAGTAATCTTTGTTATATGTAAAATCTGTGGTCTGTGAGAAGTGACGATGAAGCTGAACCGAGAAAACTGGACGCACTGAGTGGAATTTCTACCAAAGTAAGATTACGGTGCACTGAAACAGGTTATTTATCAAGAATCGCAGTGTTCCGTGATAAAAATTGATTTTTATTTATTCGTCTAGTCTTGTGTTTGAAAAATATAATTAATGTCAATTGCAGCCAATAAGCACACTTTTCAATACATTAACGACCAAGCGGAATTTTTCGAAATTTGGCATAACATAGTGCCTGTGTGTACAGATAAAGTTCTGGTGATTCCTTACGGAAAAGAAACTTTCCGTTTTGAACGTTACAGACAGGCATTTCAATTATAAGTCGCTCACATTCTTTTAATATAAATATATATTTAATACAACCTCAGTATCCGTGGATCATAGTTTTAATTTAACTCGTGCTTTCGATTGGTCTGATGTTATCTTGCGATAAAAGAGACCACACATTTTCAATTCTTTCTTGCAGCTACTCAACCGGGATAGAGACTAGTCTACGGACTGGGCGACCGAAAAATAGGGATTCGATTCTCGGAAGGGAAAAGGAATTTTCCTCCTTTCTGTAAAATTCAGACCGTCCCTGGGCCCCACATATTCTTCCATCTAACGAGTACCAGATGTTCTTTACTAGAAGGAAAAGGGCAAGAGCGTGAAACTTCCATCTAGTGCCGAACTTAAGAATGATGGAGCTATACCTCTACTCCTTCGTGAGTCCGCATGGCGTGGTGCTTAATTAATTTCGCACAGAAATAAATTTACCGTTTATAAGGTCTGAGCTTGTTCTTTCTGGTAGTTTTACACTAGCTGTTTATGTTTGTCAAATGGTTCTATCCACTGAAGCTATATATAATTTTAGTTACTAATAGCAGCCCCCTCAAATAAACCATAAATAAATGAAAGCCACTAATAACGTATGGAACTGGCCTGCCGACCTGAGAGAGGGTTAACGAGCCCTCTCCGCGTCACGAAGAATACTACAGCAAATTAGCTTATAGAATCAAATGTAATTCTGATTGCTAATATTACGTAAATAAAAAAACCAATAACTTATATTGTCCTTATTGTCAAACATGTATCAGCATTTCGGCGTGCACTGCAACAACGGGGCTAATGTGAGACGGTAAAGGAAGTTGCCTCATAAGTCCCCCAGTAGGATTAAGGGCGAGGGATGTGTAAAAGTGAAGCCCCAGAAGGAATTCACGCCTACTGTCCCAGCATGATCAGGGAAGCCCCTGAAATAGGCAAATACCCTTCTGTAACATCAAACCTGAAAGCGGATTAATATTGATCACAGTGTGGCTTCTACTATTTATCCTCCAACCCTTCTTCTTAACCACCTGAACTTCCTTCTGGATAGCACATCTCGCCTCGAGCCCTCATTGTTACCTTCCGCTTCTTTGACCAGGTGCAAAGGGTCCTCTCGCTGGAAAGGACACCCCCACAATGACAAACCAGTAACTGTCCAGGAAACGACTGGGAACTTGTCATGAGCTTCAGATGTGGCTCGACTCAGAGGCCTATTAATTGGATGACCGCCGGTCTCAGTTTTTTCTTCCGCCTCATTTCCTTCAACTCTACACGAGTATGAATATGCACCTGTACTAATGTATCCCAGAGCTTTGTTGGCCGTTAGAGGTACACACGTATGTTGGCCGATCACCAGAGAGAAAGTGGGGGGAAGGCCGCAAGGCGATAGCGCATGCGCAGAGAACATAATCCGGCTTTGTACTGTCCTCACACTCTTCCCCTCTTTCTGTGACGTAACTCGGCACGGAGATAGTTTGCGTCGAATGTAACGGTCAGACTTGGAGCTTAAAATGTACTCATGAAATCAAAAAGAGATTCGACGCCAAGTGACCATCAGTCTTAATTTGATATGAACTTCAATATCCTTCCCACATTCACCCTCAAGATGGTAACTGCAATGTAAGCCGAAACAGCTGGACACCAAAAGCCAAAGTTATACGATTGAGAGTTGAAGTATTTTCGATGTTTTCCGCTTTGCAGTGTGTAACAGGACGTACTATGGGGATGTGGGGAAGACGTATGAACTGGAGCTCCACAAGCCACGAGAAGACCGTTTGCCCTTCCTCTGCCAGCTCACCTTCATGGCCAACGGGCACAACCACGGAGAACTCGTCCAGGTGAGTAAGTAGCAACACTAACATTGCTCGGAGTCAAACTTCAAACGTTGAATCACGCTGGATGTTACCTGTCGTTACATAATGGGGGGGGGCACGCGGTAGTGTTTTTGGTTGAGGCACTATGCTAAAAGCTCGAAGGTCGCGGGTTCGAGTCCCGATGGAATTTTCAAATTACCTAATCTTTCAGCCGCACTATGGTCCTGAGATCGACACTGCCTCTTGCAGAAATGAGTACCAGGAATCTATCTGGGGTGTAAAGGGCGGCCGGTGCATAAGGCTGACAACCTTAGCGCCATCTGTGAGCCGATTGTCTAGAGAAAATGTGTGAGCCTCGACGTATCACAGCCCTGTGGGCCTCCACGGCCTGCTACAGGGATAGCTTTACGTATTTTACATTTTTACCTTGCCCATAGCATAATATTATACTGCAGTATTCTGTTGCACTGTACAGATTGGACTTTGTGTTCCATGCCACTTCATGTTTCGGCTTAACTGGCCATCATCAGGTCTATAGGTTCTTGTGGTGCAGGAACCTGCTGTTCTCATTTTCTTTTATTTCTTTCTTGTCCTTTTTGGTAAATGACTCGAGTTATCCTAGGTCATATGGGTTAACATGCTGTTATTATATACGTTTCTAGTTTCTTGCTTTGTTGGCTTTTTGGTTTTCTTTTGGTTCAGTGTGGGGCTATTCTGAATGCTTTCGTAGGAGCGGAAGCTTGTAGTTTGTGGCCGGCGGTAGATGTTCCTGTGAAGGTGACACAATAAAGAGACGAAGGCGGGTGAATATTAACCGAAGTTGTGTATACACCGCAAGAACAGATAGACAAAATCGCATCTACCCAGAATATAACGTTTTGGAAGCTTCATCTGATTTCATCCTCAGGATTGGAGGTACTTACTCTGTTGGACTCTATTAGAAAGAACTAATTCCTGTCCAGTGGTTTCACTCATTATGCTAAATCTCTGTAGCAGATCAAATTATATAGATAGGATGTACACACTACCTGAGGAAGAAAGCACATACAGCTTCCGAAACATGATTTTATTCAGGATAAAAAAGTTGGACAAAATCGGGAACGATTACCTACTCACTTAGGGAGCTGAGCCTTTCTTAAGGAGAAGCCAATCTGCAGCTACTCAAGAATTTTCCAGCATTTTATGGAACCTGAAGGTTCAATACAGTGTTCACAAAAGCCCTCCACTGGACCCTACCCTGAGCCAGATCAATCCAATCCATACCATCTAATCCTATCTCTCTAAGATCCATTTTAACATTGTCCACCCACATACGTCTTGGTCTTCCCAGTGGCCTCTTCCTTTCCAGCTTTCCCACCAATATCCTATATGCATTCCTCTTCTCCCCCATTCGTGCTACATGCCCTTCCCACCAAATCCCCCTTGACTTGATCATTCTAATTATACTTGGAGAAGAGTACAAGTTATGAAGCTCCTCATTATGCAGTTTCCTCCAACCTCCTGTCACTTCATCTCTCTTCGGTCCAGCCTATACTCTCACTACTTAAAACAAAATTGTAAAACCTATCAGGTTAGGGTAGCGGTACAGCATCAGACTGGCTGTACTTACTGAGGGTTTCCATGGTTTTCCTCTCTCCCCACAGATAGGGCATTACCTCGATGAGTTCATTCCTTCAATATCCTTTTCAATTTCTCACACATCACCCACCCCACCATCGGCCTCTATACAGTACGGACAGCAACGGCGTCGTTTAACAACTGATAAAACATAAAACTGTACACAGTGAACACTTAAACGAGTTTCGTTCGACCGAAAAACTTTCAGACATTCCCAGGATATTTGACACAGAGAGGATAACCATGATAGATATGAGATCCCTATATCGATGACAATGAAGATATGTCATCTGCGATCCGACATCCTAGCCTTGAGTAAGTATATCAGTGTTTCGGAGGACCGTACTGCCTCCATCTTCACGGTGCAAGAGTAAATATCCCTCATATGGGCCACAGATTAATACTTTCTTCTCTTTATTCGTATTGGTTCGCTCTGGGCCCCTAGTCCTGAAGTGCCTCTCCAGATATCATATTACTGATTTCCACAATTTGCTTATATTACACCCAAAATTTCTGTAAACATATGCCAGACTATAAGGCGTCAAAATTCCAGAAGAAGATTATCTTCGACATGTTCTTATTCTTGGCTGCAACTGGGTCACAGGAAACTTTAAACAGAATGCAACATTTATTAAAAGAAGACTTCAACTTGAAGCAAAAGAAAAATAAATCTAAACTCGTTGTGTTATTCAGCAGCGCGTTTAGATGTTTCTGGTGGGCGGCACAGGCCAATAACTACGGCTTCAAATTGGAACTGAGCCTAAAGTGGCCTGGGATCTTGGAAAGAGAGAGAGACAGGTCAGTAGATTAAACATGGTGAGGGAATTTCACGGCGAATTCACGTTCCTGTCGAAGTACAGGGGGAGATTTCAAGGAGTCAGATAAGTAAAAGGAAGAGTAGAAAATACTGGACGAAAGAGAAAGTGGGATTACTACTTTCTGCTGTTGGTAGACCTGACGTGATGTCCCATAATTCAGAAAATGCTCTTCGTTTTCTCCTTATCTCTCATCTATAAGCAGATACGTCGCTAATACCCTCAACCAGTTACACAATGACATTTATGTGGATGCAGCCTAAGCGCTTGGTCTTTTTCCTTGAGTCCCTTAGCAGGAGCCGCGTTAAACACAAGGGAACCAAACGGTACCTGTAGTTGAGACGTTTTACAAAAACAAAGTCCGTGGTTTAAGTCCGCAAGTGAACTATACCGACCGAGCGACTGCCGCTTGTCGGCGAAGTTAGCGTCAACTTTTAACGATAGAGGCTGTTGCGTGGTCAGCGCAACGAATCCCCACGGCCGTTAATCTCAGTTTTCTAAACCGAAGCCCCAATTTCCTTGAAATAGCTCCTCAATTTTCCTCACGAGGCTGAGTGGACCCCGTTCCAGACCCTCTACTTCTCAGAAAACCTGGTAGCGAAGGGACTCAAACCCGGACCCCTGGTTCTGTAGCCAGGTACTCTGACCACTAGACCACAGAGGCGGTCAGTTGAGACGTTTCACAAACTCTTTATTTGTATGTCTTTTGTTCAGTTAGTATCTGCTAATATTTTGTTTATATTCTGATCGTGATGTGGCAGTTAAACAGGTTATGCAACATGGAAAATAAAATGTTTTAAGATCAACGACACAAATAACATTTTTGGACGAAGTGCCGGTGAATTCAGTGTTAACGTGGCGAATTTGTGAAAAATTTGATCTGCTTTTAATTGACAAGGAGGGGGGAACGAAATTTCACTTCGCCTGCGGCGGCATTTAGACGTGCAGCAAACGTGCCTCTCATTCCACCCTACTCCACTTCTGAATGCGACGGAAACCTCTGACATCATTTCATTTTGAAACATCTTCTCGCTACCTACGTTATTTCACAAAAGTCACAACTTCTTGCAAGATGAAATGTGTTTAGTTAATGATATGAGTTGCCATGCAATAAAAGTAAGGGATTGGGGCACGCGGTATCGTAGTTGGTTGAGGCACTATGCTACAAACTGGAAGGTCGAGGATTCGATTCTCAATGAGGTCAGTGGATTCTTTAATTGACCTAATCCTTCAAGTCGCACTGGGGATCAATTCAGCCTCTAACAGAAATTAATACCAGGAATCTTTCTGGGGGGTAAAGGGTGGTCGGCGAGTAGGGTTGACATCCTCACCTCCATATGTGAGCCGAGTGCCTAGAAAATGTAGGAGCCTCATAACCCTTTGGGTCTCCACAGACTGTTACAGGGATAGCTTTATTGTTTAAAGTAATGGATAATATAATGAACAAGATTAACCGAAAAAGATCAAAGTGGGGCGGTTGAGATGGTTGAAACATGTTTTTAGAACACAGGAACAGAACCCTTGCAGGAAATTAACTCTATACAAACCAGGGGACACTTGACGAGTAGGCAGACTTGCTGACAGGTTGTTGGATTCAGTTGAAGGTTCAAAGACAGTGGGCTCTAGAAATCTGAGACGAAAGCCACAGGATAAGGATGAATGGCGAGCAATCGTAAAAGAGGCCAAGGTTCATCATGGACTGTAGTCCCGCAGAAGAAAAAGAAGAAAAATAATGAGAATGAACAGGCAGGGACAGTCAGCAGGGACTGCTTCTATATCGGCATTTGCTGATGCACCTCCTATCTGTGAGCAATGCGACTTAATTACCTAATGTCAAACGAACCGGAAGTGACGTGGAAAGACCCAGAATACGATCATGATGACAGTCCTGTTCCAACTCTGAGAGAAACGGTGAAATGTGGAACTTTCTTCTTTCTGATGTGAAGGGGTGGCTAGCAATTAACGTATCCGGTACTAAGTTCTGGTAACAATTAACAGGATTGAAACTCTATATTGGATGTCCTTAATTATCTGTACAGAAACACTGGAAGTTGTTTCTAACAATACGAAAATTTCCAAGAATTGCTGGAAATAGTTCTTTTTCGCGCATTGCTGCTACAAGTTGCATATCATGAACGTACAACAGTGAGATCGTGAATGTGCACAATTTCAAGCTCCGAAATTATTCGTTCTAATTCTATAAAACGACGTGTTTTGTGCCAACATTAAACGTTGTCACCTTTATTTAATTTTTCTTCCTGTAAATTATATATAGCCATTATATTACATAGAGTTTAATGCAATTTACTGAAAATTTACGGAAAACACATCCTGTACTGTTGACAAAGTCTGTTTACTGCACCGTTGCCTAGCAATAAATCTTCTGTTGTTCCGCGCTTCTGGTTTTCGGGAATGTGTTTAGCGACCCGTTACCTAGCAATTGGCGTGGCGCTGGCAACATAGAGAACACTTCTTGCAATATCTTTTCTATTGTTGCTTGTGCGTATTTCGTACGTTGCACAGAAATGAGTCTACATGTCACAATATATATGAATTTCCCACCGACATATGAATACAAGAAGTATGTTGGAAATTTGACTTGGTTCAGCCTGGTCCGTCATACTAGCAATAGTATAAAAGGTTTTCAACTCCGTCCAGTGTGACTGATAAATGTTTCTTCTCCTTTTTAATATTTTATCTTTGACATGTTTCCTCATATACTGATATGTCCTTCTGAAGATGGTCGCTTCGACTGAAACATGTCAAGGATAACAGATTAAAAAGGAGAAAAAACATTTATCTATCATACTGGAAGGAGTTGATAATCTTTTATAATGATGCTGGAAATTATATCTAATGACGCATCGTCCTGCCTCACCAACTGATGATGATAGGCCGCGTCATAGCTCAAGCGGTTAGTCGCTGGCTTCCCACTGCGGCGGCCCGGGTTCGAGCCCGGGTCTGGTCAAGTGGGATTTGTGGTGAACAAAGTGGCGCTGGGACAGGTTTTCACGGATTACTTCGGTTTCCACTGCCACTTCTCATTCCACCAAATCCTCCACCATCATAACCACCCGGGGCAGGCTACAATAGGCCAATGAGTGGCCGACGTGCCGAATGGATCCAGCTTGACTCCACACCCCACTAGACGTATTAAAAAAAACTGATGATGGTGTATCCTTGTTCCTATATTATAAGTAGTACACGTAATAGAATTATTATGTTAGAAACTGGACTCAGCACATCACCTAATATCGGCAGTCTCTTGACGAACAGAACGACTGTTAAGACATTTAAAGACCTGTTGTCTCTGAACTTCTTGCTTGTGTTGCAGTTAATATTCGACGCGTTCAACGTGGGTCGGTATGAGGCTTCCGCTCTGGACGGCTGCCCTGACGGCTACATGCAACTGTCAGAGATGGGTCGTCCGTACACGGGAGGTTCCTGGTGCGGCTCCTCCACCGGCTACGCCGTCTATTACAGCGAGACTAGCACAGTTACCGTCTCCGTGAAACTCTTCCACTCCCCTCTGCACGCATCCAGCCCTTTCGAATTCCAACTCCGCTACAAGTTCGTTAGTCACGACGAGGCTGTAGTACGCTTCGGCAGTGTTGGCGCTCCTCTGGAGAGAGGTGAAGTCGTACCCGGGACCTACTGTTCTCGTAATTACTATGAATGTTACCGGAAACGCTGTAGAATACAATCACCGAATTATCCCGGGATGTACCCCAGGAATGTTACATGCTATTTGACCTTGCGTCAGAAGATAATACCCAACTGCAAGCACGCAATGATTGCGGTGGGACAGGAGAATAAACATAAAATGCAGATCAAGAGGGCGGTGACCATGGCGAGCCTAAACAAGACTGGCAGAACTTTACATGCGTGGCAGGACTGCACGGGGGAAAGAGATCATCTCATATTCTACGACGGTTCCAGCACGGATGACCCGGTTCTTGTCAAGTTCTGTGGTGGTGACTGGTTGCCAAGAGTGGTCTCAAGAGGTCCAGAGATGTTGGTTGCTTTCCATTCTTCTCCGTTCAGCATTCCACTTCACTCCTCGACTGCTCCGTCTCCTCTCAGAGGATTTGAGCTCGATGTGGATGTGATCTTCGCAGACTCGGATTCCCTTGATTACTCGAGGGAGCCGCGCAGGTGAGATATAACAAGAAAGTATAAAAAATATTCCGTGGTTTTAGTCCGCAAGCAAACTATACCGACCGAGCTACCGTCGCTTGTCGGCGAAGTTAATTCCAAATTTAGCGGATAGAGGGTGTCAGGTGGTCAGTGCCATGAATCTCCTCGGTACCCAGATCGGAACTCTGACCACTATACCACAGACGCGATCCGCTATCAGTGTTAATTGATATTGTCACGTGCTAGAATGAGTGTGGAGGGGACTTGGACTAGTTATTGGATTTATTCACCACTTCCAAATCGTAACCAAGAGTAATTACAGCTATATCGCTAATTCACATACTCCGCAGTTCACTATCGAACATACTAATTATTCTGTTTGTTTTCACTAGCCGTTTCCTGGTAGGGTGTCTAACAGTGTCCTCTGTTTTCTTCGTTACTGGCTGGCGAATGTTTCACAACTGACTCCCAAGCTGGCGGCCATCTCAGACCCACCTCCTAACCTTCTGATTTACTCCAACTCAACTAACTGGATCTCCTAACTTGTACCACTTATAACATATAGGCACGGACCGCACGGAAGACATTGTTCATCACTGTTGTAGTTTAATCGTTGCCGTGGGAACATGTTTGTTTGCGAAGCCATTACTCAGTAACGGTTCTTGTATATTTGCTTGTCTCGCGGTTGTTGCCTAGCAACGATTCTACATGCTACAATATCTATGGCCTGCCTCCACACTACCTCTTCTATTGGCTTGTTACAAATTTCTGGCTGAAATATTTTAGATCGGCGTACTTAATTTAGTCAATAACAACTTATTTCTTGCATATTATTGAAAAATAGAAATTTTGCTTTGCTGCCTAGTAATTGCTTCAAGAATAAAATAGCAAGTTTTCAACTCAATATCGTATTCCATAATTCACAGTGCTACAATAACATTAAGAATCTCCTTGCTGCTCAGTAAACCGTGAAGATAACAGTGTTAGCAATTCCACCTGCTGATAATTACGACTTGGATAATTCCAGTAACTTCTTTGATAGACCCTCTAACGATCACGAGATCACAGTGGGAAGACAATCTTGTGTGCTTCAGGTGGGGGGGGGGTGCTGAAGGAGTTTTAGGTAGCAAACAGCAAATTAAACTAAAGGGACCTTGTGAATTAAGACTCAGTTTCAACAAACAAATTCTTGTCTGACTCAACCCAACAAAACTGTGTTTAAAGGGCCATTTAATGGACAGTTAACACTTTAAAAGTCTAGTCTAGTCTTTAGTCTCGTATGTACGAGTTGCTTTAACACACTAAAACTGTGCATTCTGCCCATAGAGTGTACATGTGTTCCGTACGGTTCTCACAGTAAACAGCGACTGTTTCCCTAACCAACACTAACCGGTTGGGTTTTTGTGGAAACGTAACGTGTTTCCTGTGAGGTATGGACTGAGTTTTCTGCCCATAGAGTGTATTTGTATTCCGTATGGTTCTCATAGTAAACAGCGACTGTTTCCCTAAAGAGTATTAACCGGTTGAGTTTTGTAGCGGAGACGTATATGTTTCCTGTGAGGTACGAGTTGTGTTTTTAAATCTTTTTAGAATAAATTCAGTTTTTAAGAAGTTAATGTATGAAATTGATATGTGAGACACGCTTGTCATCTGTCAAATATTTGAATCACAAATTTCTTTTAAATAGAATTCAGAAATTGTGTTCCTACCTCACTGGGAATACAATATGTAGCAATTAAAATTACAAATTTTGCAACCCTCTTTAGGGAAATATTTGATTTTATTCTGAAAATGATATGAAACATAAAATCGTAACCTGTTTGAAAAAATGCAGACTTCTAGAAATTAGGCAGGTGATGCACAACGTAACCTCTATGATATAATGGTTAATATAATTTACAGTTATAGCTGCATATAATGTTTGAAAGTAATAGACTCCTATCTGAGATCATAGCGAAAGCCATACTCCATTTTAAGAAACAATACTCTATAAAGGGATAAACCCCCCGGTACAATTAGATCTCAAAACATTAAAAAATCATAGTCACTTTAAAACACAAAAATTTGTTGCAAGTAAAAGTTAAAGGTAAAGTTATTCTTATGCTTGATTGGGCATTAGGTCATGAAGACGTATGGGGTGGATATATAGATCCATATATTCTTCACCTTGACATCAGATGGAGATAAGCGGTCGTCATCATCATAAACTTACCACTTTACCTCGGGAAACGAACACTCGTTACCCATTGAGAGGAAGGCTGGGTGGTCCCGAGAACCGATCTGGACGCTGTGGAGGAGAGAAAAATATTTTGCCCCTGCCGGGAATTGAACACGATTCCTCGTCCTTGTATCCACAGCTTGTCGCTACAGTGACTCAGCTATTCCGGTTCCCATAGCAGCAATAATGTACAATGTTTTAGGATGCTTGGTTCAGCGAATATTTGTAAACGCACGAAGAGAATAGACAAAATTATCCCCCTAATTTCATAGAGACTACACGATTTACACAAATCCAAAATAATGTGTGCACACTATCACGATGTTTAATTTCGTATATCACGATGAAATGGTTTTCATTTCGGAGTGAATCCAGTAGGCTTATTGGTTTTTCTTCTTAACAGATGCGAATTCTGGGTAAATGCCAGCAATCCTGACAGCGAGGACTGGATGACGCGTCCGAGAGGCAGATCGGGTAATGTGCTGAGTCCACGGCACACCCTGCCTCCTAACACCACCTGCACCTACCGTTTCCGGGGTAAACCTGGTGACCTAGTGTGGCTGTACTTTGTCTCCTACTCACACCAACTGCTGACGGACAATAACGAGCCCGCAGCCACTTCCATTCCTCTCGGACACAACTCTCCGATGTCCACAAGCAACCAGAGTCCCAACCTCACCAACAGCTGTTCCACACGGCTTCGGATATGGGATGGTGGCGGGACAGACTCCGATGTCCTGCTGGCGGACCACTGCGACATGGATACCCCGCGACTGTGCGACCACACCTCGCTGAGCAACTTGACGCGGGTGACGCGTCCTTGCAGCCCACTCGAGAGCTACGTCTCAACGGGTCCTGATCTCACGATGCGACACTTCTCGGAGGACGGGACGGCGCTGCACCCCACCACGTTTCGCCTCAAATACGAGTTTGTAGACACGCGTATGGGAGGCGAACCGTGGGCAGGGCGGCGGGGAGAGGAGCCACCACCCCAGCCGTGTAGCCGAGTGTTCCGACGGACACGTAGTGGCGAGTTTGCCTCTCCGAGAAATGTGTTTCTATTCGGGCGAGGTGGTGCCAGGAACCTGTCGTGCGTGTATCGCTTAGAGGCCGGGGCTGGTGAGAAGATCCGTCTCACACTCCACAACGCCTCGTTCGGTGAGTCCCCGTCGTGTGTGACCGAGGCCGACCCACACACAGGACGACCCAAGTGCGCTTCGGTTTCACCACCTCCAGGGGAAGAGAAGCGGGTCTCGCAACTCAGGATCCTCGAGGTCCCCTGGCGCGATGTCAAGATCTCCCGCGCATGTCTGTGTGACAACTCCACACTGTCCGCCTCCGGGTCGCGTCATATCGTCTTCATCTCCTCCACCCGGATCATCGAGTTACACTTCACAGTGACGCGACTAAATATCAGTGAAGACTTTGTTGATCTCTACTTCCACGGTTCTTTCGAAATAGTCCGGGCCCCAGAGTGTCAGAGGAGACAAAGAGTACGAGGATCTGGAGGGGAGATCGAGTTTGTTAGTCCACCGCGTTCCAGGTTGGACGCCCACTGCGAGGGACTGCCATGGTTAGTGGAGGCACATGAAAACCGAAGTCTCTTCCTTCTGACTTGGGGTACCTTCCTGCCACTGGAACCATCGCCAGAGGATCCTGCCAGGTGCCACACCACCAACAGGGTGCTGCTGTACTCGGGCAGACCCGCCAAGTAAGTGCATGAAGTCCATCCACTCTACGAGTCAGGGCACGTCATACCTAAGTCAGGCAACATTTCGGAAGAGATGTCCTATTTATGTTTCGATTTTTCACAGGTGTACGAATACCGCAAGCACGTTGAAAATAGAACCTTATAATTATATAACTAGCAATGGCGTATCCTTCTTCCTACAGTAGATGGAGATTTGCAGTGGTGATATTTATAGCAGTGAGCCAGAGCCGGGCAGTATAAGTAATGACTACGAACACTGTCATGATGGACACGTGTTCACATCAGAGTTGAAATATTCGGGAACAACATAAACAATGCTTTTTATAACTGTATCCTAATATTCAGCATTGATGATAATTAGATATCACTGTGACAGAAAGGAAATACATCACTTCTACACAAGTTCAGCCCGCCCTGAAATTTTGTATGGCCGAAATCTTTGGAACAACAAAGCTTACTATAAAGAATCGATATGTACAAATTCTCTTTTAGAGTTAACATCAAACTTGTTTCTTCTAATTTTTTTTCGCGACCTAACCCATGACATTTCTCAAACCCACGTAGTGGACGTTTTGGAAATCACGAACCTGAAAGTATATTGGTAAATACATACTAACATAATCTTTTAGAATAGTACAGAAATATGTTATTGCATCTATAAATTATACAAAAAGAGTCCTGGCCAACTGGACGTAATTATCGCCAGCTCTAGAGATGAATACTGCTCTGGTCTGATGAAGTGAGCTAAGTATTGTGATGTATACTGTCTTGGGCCGACGATATAAATTAAGTATATTTATGTATACTTCCTTCAACTGACTGAGTAAATTAAGTATTTTAATGTATACTTCCTTGGACTGATGAAGTAAATCAAATATTTAATGTACGTGTATACTTCCTTGGACTGACGGAGAAATTACGTATTGTGATGTATGCTGACTTGGACTGAAAGAGTAAATTAAATACTGTAATGTGCGTATACTGCCTTGGACTGACGGACTAAATTAAATACTCTAATATATAGTGTCTTGGACTGAAAGAGTAAATTAAATACTGTAATGTGCGTATACTTCCTTGGACTGACGGACTAGATTAAATACTCTAATATATAGTGTCTCGGACTGACGAAATAAATTAAATATTGTAATATATTCTTCCTTGGATTGACGATGTAAATTAAGTATTGTAATGTGTACTTCTTTGGACAGGCGATGTATATTTAGTATTGTAATGTATACTTCCCTGAACTGACGGAGTAAATTAATTATTGTGGTTTATACTGCCTTGGACTGACGGAGTAAATTAAGTACTGTGATGTATACTTCCTTGAACTGACGGAGTAAATTAAATACTGTGATTTGCGTATACTGCCTTGGACTGACGTACTAAATTAAATACTATAATATATACTGTCTTAGAGTGACGAAGTAAATTAAGTAGTGCAATGTATACTGCCTTAAACTGATGAAATAAATTCTTTTGATATGCACTACCTTCAGCTGGCAAAGTAAATTTAGTATTTTAGAGCGGCCAACACATTATTTCTTCATGATATACTGCGTTAGTCGAACGTTTTTACATCTTTTATACGATTACTGTGCTATTCTGCCTTACGGGCCGTACACTGGAAATCATTTTTCTGTGGTGCAGTACAGTGCTATACGTCAATATTCAATGTAACCAAAAATTTGTTTTATTATCATTACTTCTACAGTGTAATGTTTTTACCATAATTCAGTGTGCGGTTATTTTGAACCTATTTATTACTATCTCCTCTTTATTGCGCTTAAATATAAAGTATATCTCTTCACAACATGAAGTTTCAAGAAGTCTCTAACGTGGACACCTTAATAAGAGGTGTTTTGCTCCGGTTCTTTTTTAATTTTGTCATATCAGAATTAAATGATTCCAACTTTTTATTAAATTGCACATGTAATACCCTTAACTGTTTAAAATAGCAGTTGTTTCAAAATTTGATGATATTTTTATAGCATGTTCGATGAGTATATTTCTGATGTTTCCCTTGCTCTCTTTCTATAAAATCCGAGGGTAGAACACAGCAAATTTTCTAAATCTATAATAAAGACAAATTATCATATTGCAATAGAAACTGGAGAGCTGTACGATGTAGTTCGGTGTTCCGAAAAGCCACACACTTCTTCCAGCCATGGACTAGGGATAATCAAAATAAATATTGACTTCCTGCCTCGTCGACCCAGCACTGCGTCTCACAACGTCATCATTGGCCAGCAGCTAACAAAGTGTAACTGCTCATTCCTATAGGTTACTCCGAGTGGTCTGTCCGGCCTCTCCTAACGCCAGACAGTTCGCCGTACACGTCTTCTCTGAAGAATGGTTCAGTGTAGGGACCGTGGGAGAAGACACGCCAGCAATAAGCAACAGTGGGACCTCTGTAGAAGGGAGTAGATCTTTCTACCTGAGGTCTCCTCGACCACCTAGTTTCCTGGTGGAATTCATCGGCCGTGAACCAGGAGTGGCCGCCCTCAACTGGTTAGAGATATCGCGTTCAAGGTCTTCTCTACTTCAGCAGCTTCAGATAGATTATGTTGGAAGTGATAATGATTCAATTACGGCGTCACTCCCGGCAGACTGGGAGTGTCCTCATCGGTGTCCTGAACTAAACGCCTGCATCAGTGCTAGTCTGTGGTGTGACGGTCGTTCAAACTGTCCCTCAGGTTTCGATGAGGATGAGTCGCACTGCGGTGCTGGTATGAGTCTGTTCTCATATTTGCCTGGCGGGATATATACCGCGTTAGGTGCAGGGGCAGCCACTGCTGCGGCATTGACTATATTCCTGTGTGTAGCAGCAGTTCATCGGATAAGAACTCAGAAACGAAGGAGGAGACTGGGTAAAAAGAAACGCAGTGGTGGAGGTGGGGACGTCGGCCCTCGCCGTGTTCCCACAGAGGAGATGCTTCTTGATCCGTCTGGTTCTACGACATCTTCCTGACAACCGGCTCAGTCTGTGGAGTTTATACATGTGGACAGGGAAACTACAGTGTGACACTGCCAAAAGTTGTGGGTTGGGGACATAGTACAGGTATTGTCGGCCGGTAACACCGAAACTCCGAGGTGGTAGGACGCTGACCATCTCAAGTCATATTACGCCACATTTAATTTATATTGTTATAATCTAAATTTTATGCTTCACATTATAAGAAATATTAAAGCTATCCCTGTAACAGGCCGTGGAGGCCCATAGCGTTGTGAGACGTCGAGGTTCACACATTTCTGCACACGGCTCACAGATGGCGGTGAGGTTGTCAGTCTTACGCACCGGTTGCCCTTTATCACCCAGAAAAATTCCTGGTAGTCATATCTGTTTGAGACTGAGTCGACCCTAGAGTCATAGAGAGACTTGAAGGATTAGATAAATTAAAAAAGAAAATCCACCTCATCAGGACTCGAACCGGCAACCTTCCGGCTTGGAGCACAGTGCCACAAGCGTGCCCCAGCTTCACATTATTGCAGAAGACACGCAACGGGTAGTCTGCATACTAAAATAAAGTAGATTTGTGTCTGAATACGACACGGAGATGCGTGTGGAAGTGGAAGGAAATCTCTACGATTTCTTAACATCAGGAAAAGATAAGAGTAAGTCAGCATCACATTTCGGCCAATCCCTTTACACAGCTACAGAAACTCACTGGGCAGGAGATTGTTTTTTGTCCCAGAGCCGGTTTTAGTGCGATGGGAAAATAGAAAATCCCAGAACCTTTCAGGAATCGAATTAAGATCATTCAATTTATGATCAGTCACCTAACCGAATTATTGTCTCACATATATCGTACACATGTTTAATTAATTTCAAATTGATTAATATGGTTGCACTAAGAAAGAAACCAGCTCTATGAGAGGAAATTATTTCCAGTTCCATTTTTCATGGAGTCCATATTTCAATGACAAAAATTGATGGACTACATTTACTGATAGCCTGTTAAAATGTTTTCGTTCTGCAGTCAGAGCAAAAAATTAGTCTTCATAAGGTACAGAAATTCTGCAAACAGGCCTCAACTAATAGTGACCAGTGTATTTATTTGCCATTGCCGATAGCAAGACGCTATAGAAGTATATAGGTATTGTTCCTTGATGTAAAGGGAACTGTCAGGAACTGTTAGAACAATTTTAATTACAGTAGGCCCTCGATATAACACGGGTGTCGGGAAACAATTACAGTACCCGTGCTATAAGTGAAATATGACATGTATCTAATTTTGAAATTCTTGTTATTATGTATAGAGTATTTGGTGAAATACGGTAGCCTTCGGGGATTTACCCTTTCCAACAGTTCAGCGGGATTTCCGACAATCTGTGTTCAAGAATGTAAAAGAAGTGTTCATTAAATTTTGCTGTTTGGATGAAATAATCCAAAGGCTAGAGAAACAAGAAACGTGCTGCCTATTCATAGTGGAGTACGGCGTTTTGTTCCCTGTAGCTGCACACTACAGTAAGGAATGTTGCAATATGTTCTGATGATGTGACCGAAACAGTGTGTATAAATTTGTACGATATAAAACATATGTTGGGAAATACAGCAGTACACGTAACTCCGTGAGATAAGGAAAATTTACTGTACTCTTAGAGGATACAATATTCAGTCTAGTGAGCAAAATGGAATGTTTCCGGAAAATTATCACGGTAAACACCTGTCTATTTTCTAAAAAAAAAAGTCCTCTTTATTTTTCAAAACACAACGTTTCGGAGACTGGATTCTGTCTCCGTCCTCAGGTAAAACCTACTCAGTTGGGTCTAATAGATAGAGCTAGGTCCGGAGATAGGGACTAGCTCTATCTATTGGACCCAACTGAGGAGGTTTCACCTGAGGACGGGGACAAAACATTATGTTTTGAAAAATAAACAGAGCGTTTTTTTAGAAAATAGACAAGACGATGGATAATGTCCAAAAACATGATACACGTACTTGTAGCAATATACCATCGTCACAAACTTTTAGATCTTACGTTAAATACCGTTAGTTAATTAGTAGTTTCGCTAGAAAACTTCAAATTATAACGTTCCTTAACTTTAACGGTCTTATAGCACCACATCGAAATAATCGAAAGTTGTAAGAACTTACTGCCTCATCCTTCAGGATCGAGAGATATACTAAGAATATGAAAGTTTGTATAAGGAGAACTATCAAACCTCATGAATTGTGAGCGATCAAGGCAAAAGAGAGACCATCAACTGTTTTGATATAATCCCCCCTCCCCCCCAAAAAAATTCTATTGTGAAAAATTTCCTCCGAAACATCGGTTATCATTACAATTTCAGCACGACAGACAGTGCCAACTGTCTGAAGTCTAGGTACAGTTGTCAGTAGAATTTCCATGAGGCATCAATACCCAATGAAAATGAAACCCCTATTTTACACGTTACATATTCTTTCTAGCCGTCACTACCTCCAAAGTTATGGTGTTACCGGCCCACATTTTTCTATTTAGGCTAATGTTAAAGGTCTCTGTATATATTTCCTGACTAAAGGAGTTTAGTAATCCTTAGATATAACTTGCTCAAATAGAGTTATTCTTATTTTGCCACACATAGCCATAGTGAAACTCATTATTTCGAAATTGTACTCGTCTACAAAGAAGTCTGTTATGGTAAGTGTGGAGACTTTTCAGGATATGCTGCAAAGTGGTACTTAGTGATAGCTGTGTGTGGATTTCGTAGTCTGCAGCGGAAGGGATGGTGGTAAGGAACTTAACAAGATACCAAATTATTTTCTTTCCACTCGAATTAACAAGACTCATTTCCACACAAATGAAATTCTCTTAACGCATGGGTAGGATGTGTATTGCAATTGTTTTCTTTATACCTATTCTATGTAGCAAAAAAAAAAAATCAAAATTTCTCTCGAAGTTACAACATCAGGTTTGTTTTCAAAATTGGGCCTTAATAGGCCTACCTGTACAACCGTCTTAATATCCATTGTTAAATCACTTAGAACTGTGTTGGGTTTACAATCGCGTTATCGTAAGTAAATCTGAAGAGATGCTGCAGTGTATTCGTAACATATTGTTTAATTGAGAGCTTAATAACTCCATGAAGAAAAATTTTCTTCAGACTCTAAAGATAGTCGATCAGCTACTCAAAAAAATACACGCCCTTTCAGTGAACCAGGTTTATCTCCAAGTTCAAAAAAGCCTATCAACAGCGAGTTGAATCCAGCCCGCACCCTCACATCCTATTTCAGTAAGATCCCTTTTAATATTATCCTCCATCTAAGGCTATGATTTCCAGATGATATCTTCTCTTCAGGTGTACACATTACAGATATAGCTGCTTCTCAAGTAATGTTCGCTAAAGCCCATAAGAAGGTAGGGATTTTCTACTTCATAAGATAATAAGACATATTGTCACGTGTAAGGTGGTACGAGTGACGAAAATGAAGGGTTCTAGTTCGGATAATTGGATTTATTAGCACTTACAAGTTCTCTCAATCACACTTAAGTACAGCACTATCTCTGATTTACACATGTTCCATTTCACCGTTACACACGCACTGGGTTTCTCAGTCTTCACCAGTCGTCTCCTGGCAACGGATCTAAACACAGGGACTAGCGCTTCAAATCGCTATGAAGTCTCTTATTTCATCTTCAATCACTCTGTACTCATCTGTCCTAATCTGTACTCAATATTCACAATTTGCGCTCTATTCTCGTCCTTGTACTCTCAACTCCTGAAAACTCCTGGACTCTCCATTGATTTAAGTCAAAGTCAAAGCCACCTTGCGACTGCCGGTCAGTCAGTCAGTCTTGGTCTCGAACCCAATCTTGGGCTCATGACTAGATATTTATTACTGTTTGACAGTTACAGTCTTGTTATTTTGGGGTGCCCTCTCTGACGAGGAGACCGACTGAGTTAAGCTTAAACAGGTCTTCGTTATATAGGCGCCGCACAGACAGCGCACAGAAAACACAGTTCTATTGTGCTTAAGGAAGACCACACAGAGATCAAGTCATGTGATTCCTAGTACTGTTAGAATGTGACGTCATTGCGCCTGCACAAGCCTTTGCGTAGAAGCAGGTTGTATAGCTTCGTTGTTCCATTGTTGCGTACGTGTATTGCGGGGTGTTTATCGGTCCGTTGCCCAGCAACGCTCTGGCCAACCACGTTATACTATATTTACTTAACCGCCATCGATAAATAGGCCTAATAAAGGAAGTGGGGCGTGCTTCTTTGAAGGTAGGGGCCGACATTTTGAATATTATTAAGATAAAAACTATTACGTAACACCATGTAGTCTGGTAGAAATTTATCGAGTTTTCAGAAGGAAGTACTTCCTCTGTCTTCAGGGTCGAAGAGTGAGGCAAACAAACAACCGGAATAACGCAAGCAGAAACAGACGTGCCTTCAACGCAGAACCTACAGGTTATTAACAGTGGCGTATCCTTTACACCCCAGTACCCACGACCGTAATGTTCCTACCATTCGACGCTACTGACCGCTTCCCTAGAAAAGCCATCTAAAAATCGTAAAGGTCCCTGTGCTTAATTACTCAAGCCCCGCACAATTACGAAGTATTTAGGAGTGGAGGCACAGCTCCACCGTTCTTGACCTCGGCACTAGATTGAGTTGACTGCTCAGCTTCACGACCCTGCCGCTCTACCCCCGAGGGAGAAGCCCACAATACCTGTTGAATAGGAGGCTGAGTGGGCCCCAGATCCGGTCTGGGCGCCATGGAGAAAAAATCTTACCTCTGCCGGAAATTGAACCCGGGTCGTCCAACCAGTACCCAGTCGCTTAACTGACTGAGCTATCACAGCTCCTACTTTTACACCGAGATGGTATAAAATTTGTGCCTACATTTCTGTCTTTTGTCATCTGCTGAACCTCCAGCCACCACTAGTGTGTGCTTTATTACCGGAGTAATTAATTTCAATGCGGAAGAGAAACATTTGTACAGTGGTTTACTAGGGCAATGTTAAACTTTAATCATGGTTAATTAACAAACAGCGCTACGTATATTTGCAGAAGAAGGGAGAAGAGGGGTAAAGCAAGGGAAATTTGACTGCTGATGCAGTATACTTATTGTGATTCTGTACATTATACTTCGCCCTGCCTCTTATTTAAAACGCTCAATATTTCGGAGACCGGAAT